CTTCCTCCACTTTATATGGGACGCCGCCACAGCATGGCTTGCCAAGCAGTGCGTCGGTGCGCCCCCGGGATCCGAACCAGCGAACCCCGGGCCGCCGCAGCGGAGCGCGCGCACTTAACCACTTGCGCCACCAGGCCGGCCCCTGCTGGTCCCACTCTTTTGTAAACAAATCTTTTGTAAGTAATCCCTCCAAGAATTATCCTAATGTGAATGTGTTGTTTCCTGTTGAGACTGACAGATACACCCCTCTCACCAAAAGCAACATCCCCATCTGTGCTGTCCAGTATGATAGCCACTAGCCACGTGCGGGTATTGAGCATTGAAATGTGTCCCAAAAGAAAAGTGCTGGAAGTATAAAATACACACTGGATTTCCAAGACTTGGTATGAAAAGACTGTAAACGACCTCAATAATTTTTATATTGACTACATGTTAAAATCACATTTTTAGGTATTAGATATATTACTAAAACTAATTTTACCTGTTGCTTTTTACCTTTTTAAGGTGGCTACTAGAAATTTTGAGTTACCTATGAGGCTCATATTGTGGCTCATATTTTATTTCTAATGTAGAGAAAGGCCCTAGATATTGTGTGAGTGATCCTGAGAACCACCGTCTCCTACACAGTGTGGATTGTTAATACCCACGTAAAGGAAATACCCATGCTCGTGAGATTATAAATACACAATATCCTATCCTGTTGGAGCTAAAAGGGAACTTAGAGACTGATTTTCCTGATGAGGAAACCGAGGCAGGTTTGTAAGCATTTATGGGATTGCATATGCTTTCAGAATGACTTTAAAATGGTCTTTGTTTTTGTGTCTTCATTCTGCAAATCAGACTGAAATTCCTAGAGAAAAACTTTAAAATATATTAAAGCTCCAGGTAGTATTAAAGCTCAACTGGTTTGTCAATATCCAATTTTAGAACACAAAGAGGCATTAGAGCTTGGCAGGACTCACTGTTCATCCTTGTAAAAGCCAATTGCTCTATGGCATCAGAATCTAATAAGCTCTTCGCTGGTTCATAGAATAGGTTGGGATTGGTACTTTGTAAACATAAAACCATGTCCCGCACTGAGTATTTATCCAGCAGGGCACAAATACACCACTTCCACCCAAGCACAGAGTTACAACCACCACTAGGTCCCCTTTGGAAGGTTAAAAGGGACTTCCCTGACTTCCCCCTCCGTGGTCAAATAGAGCGCAGGCAGGCAGGCGAGAGGAAGGTTTGGAAGTCCCAACACTGGGCAGCAGGAATTCCTCGTGAGTGTCCTGCACTGGGCCTGCCGCGGGCCCTGGTGTGCAGCCACGGTGGGCCCAGACAGCGGCCTCCACAGCTTAGAGGAGTTGGTGTGGAGCGGCCAGGCTACCGCCCACATTGCGGGGCGTCCTGCCGAGACAAGGAAGCCAAGAAATCAGGAACAAATCGGCCTGGAATAAAAAAAACCACCTCACGCAGGTCCCACGGGCCACCTCCCTCCATTAAACAGCAAGGCGATATGTATCCCTTTCTAACCTGCTCTCTGAGGAGGGCACGAAGAGGATAGAGGGTCAGGGGAGGCAAGAGAAAGAGGAAAACCGCTGTTCGTGAAAGGTCATTTAACTCCGTTACCGACGCGCGCGCACACACACGCGCGCACACACATGCACATACACTAATACAAACAACATTTAAGAAAAAAATTACTTCTTCAGAAACTGGGCTTATGGATTTTTTTTTTAATCTTAATTTCTCCCCCCTGATTTATTTATTGACTCATTTCCTAAGAGGTTGTTCCTTTTAAGGTCCTGGGGAACTCTTCATCATCCTATACTACTACAAAGGAAAACAATCAAAGAGGAAAAAAATACTGCTGGGGGAGAAAAGGCTTCGCGAGGGCCGGCAGTGGACAGTCGAGTAGGTGGAAGTCAAAGCAGATGCGGAGGAAGTCCGCTCGCCCCATACAAATGGGGGCGTGGCGCGCATCGCGCTCCTGGGAACTGCAGCCAACAAAACTTCCAAAGGTTCGGGCGGCGGGAAGAGGGAAAGGATGTAGCGAGGGAGGCGGGAGGGAAGCAAAGCGTAGGGGACTTGGAGCCGGTCAGGGCTGCGAAGAGCTGAGCGCAGCAGGAGAGGTTTGGGAGCCCCTAATCAAGTGAGTGGGTGGAAGTCAGGCCCCCGGGGATCCCGCCGCCCTTGCTGTCAGTCAGACAAACCCGGGAGCCGCCGCAGCCCGCAGCTCGGCTCAGAGGGGGCGAGGCTGCCCGCGGGACTGTTGGGGGGAGAGGGCGGAGTGGGGAAGGGGCGTCGCCCCTGTCGCCCCCGCCCTCTCCGATGTCATTGGGCCGCCGCTGCGGGGTCCACGCCACCTTTTCTCCATCCCAGCCCGCCTGCCCAGCTGCGCTCCTCCCGGGGCTGGTCCGGCCCGGGCCGTTGACGTCACCGCCAAGTTTGCTGCCCTTGGCGCCCCACGTGTGGCGGAGGCGACGGCCCCGGAGGCGGCAGGGGAGCGCCTGCGAGCACAGTGGCCGCGGCCGCTGACAGGTCCCGCGCAGCCCGGCTCCGGCACGCCGCTCACAGGTGGGGCCCGGGAGCAGTTTGGAGCAGCCGGGCGCGCACGAAGAGGCTCCCGTTGGGGCAGAGGGACTCGGGGGGACCTCATCCCAGGGCCGGAGGTTGCGCGCAGGCTGGCAGAGGGACGGAGGACACAGGGAAGCACTGCCTCTGGCCGCTGTCTGGAGCGCACGGAGCTCAGCAGCCCCGGAGCCGCGCGTCCCCTCCCCGGGACCGAGCGAGGGATGCACGATCGCTGAGCGGAGATCGGCGCCGAGAGGCCGCTGCGGCCGGGACTGAGACGCTCGCTTTCGCCACCGCCGCGAAGACCCCCATTCCGGGGACTCTCAGGGAACTGGGGCGCCAAGCACTCCCCCAAGACTCAGGACTTGGGCGACTCTAAGACGATGGTTTCTTAAGCACGGCACCACGTCCCCCTTCCCGCCCCCTCGACCGGAGGCAGGGATCCCGCGCGGGGCTCCGGGGGCTCCGTCTTTTCTGGGAGCCCCGGCTGCCGCCTCCCTGGGCAGCTCGCACGGCCGCAGGCACGCACGGGCGATGTGGCCTCCGTCCAGCGCGCAGGCCCTCCTGGAGGATGTCAGGGCACCTGGCAGAGCCTAGCATGGCCCGCGCGCTGCCCGACGTCGCCTCCGGCTAGGATGGCCCCTCCGGGCCCGGCCGGCGCCCACCCCACCTCGGCCGAGCCTCTGTCCCGCAGCATCTTCCGGAAGTTCTTGCTGATGCTCTGCTCCCTGCTCACATCCCTTTACGTTTTCTACTGCCTGGCCGAGCGCTGCCAGACCCTGTCGGGCCCCGTCGTGGGGCTGTCCGGCGGCGGCGAGGAGGCGGGGACCCCGGGTCGGGGCGTCCTGGCCGGAGGCCCGAGGGAGCTGGCGGTGTGGCCCGCGGCGGCGCAGAGAAAGCGCCTCCTGCAGCTGCAGCAGTGGCGGAGGCGCCGGCCGCCCGCGCCCCGCGGCGACGGCGAGGAGGCCGCCTGGGAAGAGACCCCCGGCCTGGCCGGGGGTCCCGGCGGCTCCGGGGCCGGGAGCAGCGTGGCCGAGGCCCCGCCGGGGACCCTGGCCCTGCTGCTGGACGAAGGCAGCAAGCAGCTGCCGCAGGCCATCATCATCGGCGTGAAGAAGGGCGGCACGCGGGCGCTGCTGGAGTTCCTGCGCGTGCACCCCGACGTGCGCGCCGTGGGCGCCGAGCCCCACTTCTTCGACCGCAGCTACCACAAGGGCCTCGCCTGGTACCGGTGAGCTGGCGCAGGGCGCAGGCGGGGCAACCAGAGCGCAGAGGCGGTGGGGGCGGGTTAGGTGGGAGGTGGGCTTGAGAGAGCCGGTGATGACCCCCAGTTCACCTCCCGCCGCATTTCATGCAGAAGGCCAAAGGTCATCAGTAGTTGTCCTCAAGTTTAGGGGTCTCGTGCCCCGCCGTGCCTTCTCCTTCCGGGGAAGTGGATGTTGAGGGAAGGAGTGGGGTGGAAACTGTGGCCTTAATTTTTTCTTTAGTCCTTGGGATTCCCTTTCCCCCGCATGGCCGCTCTCGTCTTTTTCTCCTGCTCTGTGAAAGTATTCATGTGGTTAGCCAAAGAAAAAAAAAAAGTACTTCCTAAGTTAGAAACCTGTTCAATTCTTAGTTTGTAACCTAGTCGATCCCTCTCCCAAGGAAGCCTGTTTTCATGTCTCCTTGATCTTCTGGGCAACTCCCTGTGGTTAATGCAGTCTTTGCCATCAGGTATTTATTTACCTTGACCCTCTGCCAGATAATTGTCCTAGGTGGTAAGTGATATAGAGACTTAGTAAAAGTGTCAAGAACCAGTGGGGAAATATATGTCCAAGCAAGTGCCGGCAACCAGTCACCGTGTTTGAAAGAAGGCTTCCTTGGTAATAACTTTTGTTTGGGGCCAGGAGTGAGTTTTGTAAAGTGCTTTGTTTATTTATAGGGAAGAGTACCTTTTGTCTCTGGCCTGGCAGAAACTTCTAAAGATCTTCAAACAATTCTCTTTACAAGTGAGGTAGCCATTTTTTTTTTTAAAGGAAGAAAAACGGAAAAAAATAAATAGGGACACTGGTTACATTGTAAAAAACTCCCTCCTAATACTGTTTAGGAAACAAGTCTGATTTAGATCTTAATTTTGAATTTGCCAGTCTTCTCAAATTCAGACCACCTTTAATAATAGAATCAGCCAAACTCTAATAAATCCTAGCGTCACCTGGATTTTGTTTGTCATATATCACTGGCCTTTTTTCTTTTCTCCAAGAACAAGGAAAAATCATGTTGCCAGAATTTTCCATTTTATAAAGTTTTGTCTTGTTCATTAAATATGCATTCTCCTTGTTGTTTTAAGTGAAATAATATTACAAAAGTTACAACACCATTTAGATGTATTTCAAAAGCCCACTAAATTAACCATTCATCCCCGAAACAGAAATGGACGTGATTTGACAAGTTTATTTACTTGAGAGGTCAAGCACACCCTCAGATTAATTTCAGGAGCCAAATTCACAGTAACGTAACTCATGAGAAAACATTTCGTCCTAAAAGTCAAATTCCAACATGAAACTCTTTTAAAACAGTAACTTTCCATTTGTGGGAAAGAAAAACAAGCAACCTTCCCTTAATATAGAATATATATCATTTAAAATCATCAGCCACTTAAAAAATTCCCTTGTGTTTCTGTCATTTATGTTGTATCCTCTGGGAAGTTCTTATAAAAATGACCTGTTGAATCTGGAAACAACAGGTCCTTCTTTTTAGCACAAAGGCAGCTCTGTTTTTTCCATCAAGGACACAAAAAAGAAGTGATTAAAGACCCCTCCCTAAAACTCTTATCTAGAGCAGTTTGCGTTGAATTCGGCCTGGTACGGTGCTATAAGTGAACACATTTCAAGCTGGCTGCCCAAAACATCTAAGACAATGTTGGGCTCTGAGGTGCAATTAAATATGGTGAAATATTTAGTACTAAAACTCTTTATTTTCGTTTTGCCGTATAGATTTTATTTCCACAAAGTGGGATTGTTTCTTCTTATTCCAGAAATGAGTATTTGAGGGCACAGTATATCTACAGACCTGGGTCTTATTTTCCGTGGAGCGTTCTGAGCTCATGTAAGAGAAGGAAGGTTTCAAGGTAACTAGAAACACAAGTATTAAAAAAAAGAAAAAGAAAGAAAGAAAAGAAAAGAGAAAAGAAAGAGTCATAAAGTTTTGGGCCATTCTCTCGTTTAGAAACTGGATGCACGCTGTAAAGTAAATCTCTCCCTGGATTGTTTACTCCAGCAAAGGACTTCCATAAAGCAATTTATGGCGGTTACAAAAATCATTGCACAGTAGACTTCATGGTTTGGTAAATTTAATTTTCTAAGTGTTGGGGCAATGTCTTTGTTTTACCATTTGCAATGGTTTTTTATTGGATGCGTAAATTTAAGTTTAACTCAATTACATAGAAAACCCTTATTTAAAAAAAATCCAATTTATGGAGCCTGGATTATGTGATTATTTAATGAAATTTTGCCACAGTTCACTTTCATCTTGGCTCTGAACTTGGAGTTTGATGTGTGTGAGAATGACTGAAAACTGAAAAAAACCTCTCCCACACAGAATGCCACTTAACTATTAAGAGCACTTTAGCTGCTTGTATTTGTCCAGTATTTTAGAGTAAGGGATTCGGTTAGACCTTCTTGAGTCAGCCCCAAATTTGTAATATAGGATTTCTACCACACACTTATGACCGCACACACACACACACACACGCACACACACATACACGAACAGGAAAAAAATCCCAGTATTTGCACCCAGAAGTAAATTATGGAAGAGAAAAATCTTTATAATATTTTTAAGATGCTCACTGACATGAGAGAATCATAAATGTCTAGTCCTGTTCTTTTGCCCGACGAAATCTGTTTGCCATAATAGTTTGTTGTGGCAGCGCCCCCTACTGTCCTGACAAAGAAAGTAATCTTGCTATTAGGAAGTTGGAAGAAAATCCCTTGGAGAATGAGTTTGAGAGTTAGAAATGCCTGTTACTAGGATGTTTCAATAAATTTCTCTCACTAGGAAAATAATAAAGTGCTTTATAAACTGCATCCCAAGAATGGTGTAATTGACAGTTTCTGCGGTTGAACAAATTTGTAGCAGTAAAGGCAAAGAAAATGAATTTATCAAAATCTCTATGAAGGAAATTGGCCCTATTGATTTAAGATGTCTAATATTACTCTAAAATAAATAAAACAAAGGCAAATTTTAAAATGCCAGGAAATTTGTTAATGATAATTTAGGATGCTTCGGTGGAGTCTTCTGGGTATGGAACTCCGCCCTGATGGAGTTTAAAAAACATTCCACGACTTAATTTAGCAGCCGTGGTATCAGCACAACAAATGTCTGTGGCTTGCATGTCATGGGAAAGCAGTCCTTTGCGATGAATAGTCTCCATTTCCATCGTACGTGTAGTGGTTTCTTAAAGGACAGTGGGGAATTGTTTCATTAGCTTCAAAACTTTGGGATCCTTTCTAGAAGTCAAAATCAAATGCCTCCACTGTAGTTCGAGAGCAGGTGAGCTTAGAATTTAATAAAAAGGGCCCTCTCTGCCTGTGTATATCTGTACCAACTAGAAGGTGTGGTTTTTTTTCCTCCTAAAACAAAAGATACCTATTTATAAAGTAAAGATATGTGTGCATTTATATATGTATTTATATATGTGTGTGTATATAAATGTTTGGTTTTTGTAATACTTTAATCCTGTATTTTGGGACAAGATAGTAAGTATTCATCATCCAGTCTCTTATACTAGCACATCTACTTTCTATGCTTGATTCGTTTTCTTTAGTAAGCCTGGACAATTTTAGCAGAGCTCAATATCACTTAAATTATTTTACTCTACGGCACCCAGGAAGATCAAAGATTACTCAACTTGGAGTTTAGGAGTTAGTTCTCCCCTGACTTCATCAGAATTTGAAGTTTTCTGGCCTCTAGTGACCATCGCCTGTTTTTCAAGTCCCCCAGAGAGGCAAACTGAACAGAGGAACTTTCGGTTCCTATCAGGAGACACCGGCATTTCGGAGCAGCTGGGAGCAGCTGCAGAGTACGTCCCTGTGCCGTTTCCCACCCTCCTGAGCCACAAGGCCCTTCTGCCTGAAGGGTTGGAAATGAAATTCGAGCCAAGGGAGCTGCAGAGTCTGGCCACCCATGCAAGGTCATATGGACTGGAGTCCAGAAAGGCTCCTCTGTCCTTACAGCAAAGTTAAGGACATTGGGAAGGGACGAGGGGTGGGAGGAAAGTGGGAAGAAGTTGCTTTGGACTCAGTCTAGGGTACGTGTCTACAGGGGGAGAGGGGACAATTTCTTTCATACGTGTACTTCCCAGGAGGTCTCAGTGACTGGACACTCTCCATTCACTGAGAGGTTGCAAGTAGTCCCTTAAAAAAGCCACAATGCTGTCATTTTGTTCCCTGAATGTCTGAGCTCTGGGCTTATCCCCCCAGTAGACTGCTCCAGCAATCCAAGTCAAATAGCTGAGTGCCTGTGTGTACGTGCACATGTGCACACCCACACGCATGTGTGTGCAAGAGCAGACACCCAGTAGGTGGGGAAAGTGATGGAATTTATAAGAGGAAAGTTGTTAAGTGGTTGGGGGAACTTCTGAGTAATATCAGACACCCAGGGTATGGAACAGGCTTTGGGACTCTTGAGTCCAGGCATTAACAACAACAACAACAACCGCGTTTGGTATAGTCTGGAATTGGAACACCTCTTGTGAGTGAATATTCCTTTATAATGATGAGATTTATAATGTGCTGATATATTTTACGTGAAATGCTTAGCCATCTATGAGTGAAAATCCCCCACAATATGGTAATCTCCTGCCCTCCCTATAAAAAAGAAAACACTCTGGCCAAAATTTTTGTCTCATATAAATAAGTCCGTTGATTGGCCGGGAAAGAATATGTGCCAAATTTGTATTTTGGAGGGGTCATGGGAATGAAATAAGCCTGTGCAATTAATGACAACAGGAGCTAACCTTACACAGACCAGATGCTCACATCGTGAGAAGAGTGTTGCAGAGCAAACAAACCGACTTGACATAAACAACGAAAGGCCTCATATCTCTAAGGGATGCATTTGGACAACTGCAAATTGCAATTAACATCAGTCGAATTGCTGGGCCTGGTCGGGAACTTTCTATACTTGGCGCTTCTCCACAGGGGGACATCTTCCTTCACCAAGTAATAGTAACTTGGCTGATAAAGAGTGTCG